GAGACTGTTCTAATTCTATCAAAAGTTTCTGGCGATAGGAAATCATTATTTAATACATGATGGTAATGTCTTAACTTACTAAAGTCAGACAATGAAGATTTTGTCACTTATGCAAGAGTCGTGAATCAAGAATGAAGTTCAAGTTAAATAAATTAACTTCAAATTTTTTTAAATGCCTTATATTTGTACAGGGTTCAACTTCTAATATGGATGCAGAGATAAGATCTAGGATACTTGCTGAATTAGAAATGGATTCCAAATTTACTCTCCAGAAAATAGCAGAAGAATATGAGTGTATTGGGAATTTGAAACTCAATACTGCAAGGATTGAGGAAAAAGACAATTCACAAGCACATAGTGTTCAACCATCTAAGAGAAAAAACGATAAACATTTTCCAAATCCTAACAGAACAGTAAAAACAGATAATAAACCCACCTCAATGCCTGATATTTGTTATGGTTGTGGAGGTAAGCATTTGAAAAGTAATTGTTTTTTCAAGAAGAAAAAATTCTAAAAATGTGGGAGATTAGGACATGTTGCAGATACAAAAAATGGAGAAAAAATAAAACATATGTGAACATGATAAATACATGGAGTAACAATAAGAAGCCTAAAAGAGAAATTAACAAGACATCTCAAAAGAGGAATTTTGTTTTTGTACAAATTAATAATGTAAAAATAAAATTACAACTGAATACAGGATCTGATATCACTATCATAAATGAGCAGACATGGAGAAAATTGGATAAACCCATTTTATTGACTTCTGATAAAGTTGTGTATGGTGTCTCAGGAAAGAGATTGAACTTTTTGGGTGAATTCAGCTGTAACGTTTCTTTTGTTGGAAAAACCAAAAAAAGTGGTGTTTGTATTAAAGAATACTGCTAATTTGTTTGGAACAGACTGGATTGCATTGTTTGATCTTTGAGACCTTCCAATTAACTCTTTTTGCAACAAGATAAATTTTGTTATGACCAGTGTTAATAAAGCAACTAAGAAAGTGTTTCCAGAAGTTTTCTTGGGTCTAGGGACATTCATGAAAGCAAAAGCTAAGTTTGAGTTAAAATAGCATGTAAAACTGGCATTTAAGCAAAAAATGAGTGTACCTTTTGCAGCCTTAGATCCAATTAATAATGAATTGGACAGACTAGAAAATTAGGTATGATCTCAAAAACAGACTATTCCAAAATTGCATCACCAACAGTTTATTTTAAAAAAAATTTATAAAACCCGTGTATGTGCTGATTTTTCAACAGAGTTAAATGAAAGTTTAAAACAACATAACTACCCATTACCAAGTCCAGAGAAAATTTTTGCCAGATTAAATGGAGGTAAATTTTTTTCTAAATTGGACCTGTCAGATGCTTACATACGAGTAGACAAAGAGTGCTCAAAACTATTGACAATTAACCCTCATAGAGGGTTATACAAATTCAACCGATTTCCTTTCATTTGCTATGAAAAAGTTTCACAAATTCATACATGGTAGAGAGTTCATACTACAGACAGACCATCATCCATTATTGTTTATATATAGATCAAAAAAAGGTGTTCCTACACATACAGCAAATAGACTGCAAGCACTGAGGAACTATCCTATTGAACTATAATTATCAAATGGAGTTTCTACCATCAAAAACTTTAAGTCATACAGACAGATTGTCTAGACTAATACCAAGATTCTGTAAACCACTTGAAGACCCAGTAATTGTGGCGATAAAGGCCAAAAATGAAATTAATAATGTATTATACAATACAGTAAGAGAACTGCCCATAACATTGAAAGAAATAAGAATTAAGTTGGAAAAAGATGACTTTATAATAAAAATGAAGAAGCAATTAAGATTTAAAGGAAAAAATATTACTGGAAATAATGCATTTTCATTATGTAATAATGTACTTATATATGCAAAAAGAATTGTGATACCAGCATCGTTACAAAGATGTATCCTAAAGGAATTTCACATAGGACATAGGAACATAGGAATTTCTAGAATGAAATCCTTAATGAGGTGTTATACTTATTGGCCAAAAATGGATCAAGATATTGAAAATTTAGTGAAATCATGCAGAGGTTGTGCTCTGGCAGCAAAGTCACTACCTATCAAAATTCAACCTTGGCCAAAAACCAATATGCCATGGTCCAGAATACATATAAGCTTTGCAGGACCGTTAAATGGAGCATGCTGTCTGGAATGTCGCCTACAGAGTTAATGTTTGCAAGTAAGATTAAGTCCATATTTAATAAATTACTACCAAAACAGAAGACAAGAACATCAAGGAATCAAAATAATATAAATAAATATTTTAAACCTGGTGATAAAGTTTTTTTTTTTAAATGTACCAATGTGTAAAAGAATTCTGGGAATATGGCATTATAAAAAAAGAAAAACAAATCAGCAAAATGACATACATGGTATAGAGACAAAAGTGGGAACATAAGTGACACCTTAATCAGTTAAAATAGAAATTCACTGAAGAAGGTACCGATGGAAATATTGTATGAAATGTTTGATGTACCCATGCCACCAGAAATTAGTAAACCAAGGAGGTACAGAAAAAGAACAGCAATGGAACATTTGAATATTGAACCGAAACTGGAAAAACATAGACGCCAGAGGAAACCATCTCAAAGCGGAGGTGTATAGGAATAAAGTGTCACTGCCAACACTTGTGTTTGAACATAGATCACCAGTGAGCAAACACAGGCAATCCCCATTATTGAATTAAGTGGACCATGTGACCATAGAGGAAATGCATAAGTAGGATGTTGCGTGACATCTAATTGATCTCCATTTATAGTCAATCCTCTATTACTATACAGATCTCCATTTCTATTCTATCCTCTATTATTATACAGAACACTATTCTCTATAGTATTCACTATGCTATTTTTCTATACAGATTACTATTGGAATGAGTATTATCGAGCAAGTGCTATTAGTGCGAGTGTTATTCAAAGGCATATGACACCAGTATTGTTCAACGTCATTACTATAGTTGTATCTACGATTACAAAGTCTCTACTAGAACGAGCATTACAAAAGTGACAATGAATATTCGTTGACATTACAAAAGTGGCAATGTGTGTTCATTGACATCACAAAATTTTAAAAAGAAAAATGAAATTTATTATCTAATCAAAACTCTACTTACTTCAAAAATTGCCTTTGCTCTTTTTGGCATTAAAAAATTAACTTAAAAATTAAATTTTTATAGATGTTATTCCAAATATCTATAATTTATTTTTTAATTCATCAATATTTTTAAAAACTTTTCCTTCCATTTTTCTTTTCATTAAATTTCATATATTTTCAATAGGCTTTAAAGTGAGGGACTGTGGCAACCAACTAATAGTTTTAATTTAATTTTTTTTTAAAAGTACACTATATAATGTATATTTTTTATTTTTGAAACTTTTCCATACATATCATAATCATTTGCATTTTAACCTGAAAATTTTATTTATAATATTTCCGTACTAAATGCATACATCTTTAATATTTCGATATTTTTTAATAAATGTAAATTTCTGTATCTAATTAAATCGTCCATTTTTTTTTTTTAACAAAAAATCAAAAATTTCCTTTTAAGACCTTCAGAATAAAGATAAAAAATCAAAATATTCAAAAAATATTAATAGAGATAAATATTCAAATATTTTTATTATTGGCTTATATTATAAAATTTATCTATTTATAACTATTTATAACTATTCATTTTTTTAACACAATTGTAATTATTTAGATAATCAAACCATTAACCATTTTCCATTTTAAATATTTTTTAATTTTTTGATTAATCGGTAACTATAAAAATTCAGTTTTCAATTACTATGGTTAAAGTGAAAATGTTTTACCACTCACATCGAGTACTATACATACACTTACCGAATTTTGGTATATAAAATGTTAGCGCACAAATCGAATACTCACTAATCGAATACGCATTAATCGAGGGATTACTTTACATGTTTTACCTGTATGAGAGACAAAAAAACTGTACACTTTTCGGTTTAGCCTTCTGAAATATGTTTTTGCTTTATAAAGCTAAAAACGGTAGACATATTTTTTGTGTGCCTGGGTCAATAAACTATAAATGTTTTTTTATTAGTGTATTTGCTTTTATGAATAAAAATCGCTTACAGAGAAGAATATTAAATTAACTTTCAGTGAAAAATATTAAATTAGTTCTAATTGAGAATTCCAAGTTTACTAAATTACATTTGTCTCAGAGGATGTCGCATAAAAAGTATTTTTGCAATGAAAACATAAAATAATATTGCAGGCCCGAAGGAAATAAATAAATATATCGTAGATTTGCTTAAGTTCAATAAGTTGAAGTTACAAAAGTGTAAAAGTGCGAATTCCTTAAGCCGAATACAGCAGAGAACTACAACAAAAAATTGAACCGAAATTAAAATTCTTCTCTATCAACGATGGGATTTGAAGGAGGCTTCCAATTTTGATCCTCGGTTACACTATGATTTGTTCTGAAGTAAAGAACATCATGTCTGAGAGTAAAATTACCGATATAATTTTGGTTTATACGAGAGAAAAATGGTAGACATTGTTTGGTTTCCAAACGTGTTAGAAAAGGTAGATATGTTTGTTTTTTAGGTGATTAAACAAGTCAGACATGTTTGATTTTGACATGAATCAAAAAGATAGATACAGGTTTGGATTTTATGAGAATCTAAAAGATATACGTTTGGTTTGTATGAGAATCTACTGATTGAAAAATAAAAATCTGGTTACATTTGCTGAGGTGGTTACAGCTCTGCATTGTGGAGGCATTCAGCGTTTTTCAGATTCAATATCCATGTTAACCTTCGTAAACAAACATCTCATAGTTAAATTGGGCTCTAGTAAAATACTCAAAATTCAATTATAAATGTAATAATTGACGATTTCTTTACTTCTCTATCTGATCCTTCCCCCCCTCTCTCTCTCTCTCTCTCTCCATCACTTTTGAATCTTGCTCTCTGTCTCTTTTATAGATGTTTGTCTCCTTATGTATCCGAAACTTTCTTCTTTCTCTCGTTGTTTCATCTGTGTCTTTCTGGATCATATTCCATTTATCTTTCCCAGTCTTTCTCCTCCCTCTTTCTCACTGTTCTTCTCCGTCTATGTCTAGATATGTCTCTCCATATTTTACCCTCTTTTTTTATTGTTCCTCTCTGTCTCCTTATATATCTTATTCTCTTTTTATCTTTCCAATAGTTCTTCGCTCTCTTTTCTCGGTGTTTCTCAAACATGCTTTTACAATCTCTCTGTCTTTATATGCTGTAATATTTCTCCGTTCTCTTTCTTATTATTTCACCCGTCTGTTTCAAGATTTTTTCTCTCCTTATCTTTCCCAATCGTTCTTTTCTCTCTTTCTCGTTGTTTCTCTCCCTGCCTTTCTAGCTTGCTTTCTCCTTATCTTTCATAATCGTTCTCATCTCTCTTTCGCATTGTTTCTCTCTGTCTCTTTGTAGATATTTATATCCTTATCTTTTCCAATCCTTCTCGTCTCTCCCTTTCATTGTTACTTTCCGTCTCTTTCTTGATATTTATATCATTATCTTTCCCAATCCTTCTCGTCTCTCCCTTTTAATTGTTACTTTCCGTCTCTTTCTTGATATTTATATCATTATCTTTCCCAATCCTTCTCGTCTCTCCCTTTCATTGTTACTTTCCTTCTCTTTCTAGATATTTATATCATTATCTTTCCCAATCCTTCTCGTCTCTCCCTTTCATTGTTACTTTCCGTCTCTTTCTTGATATTTATATCATTATCTTTCCCAATCCTGCTCGTCTCTCCTTTCATTGTTACTTTCCGTCTCTTTCTAGATATTTATATCCTTATCTTTCCCAATTCTTCCCGTCTCTCCCGTTCATTGTTACTTTCCGTCTCTTTCTAGATATTTATATCATTATCTTTCCCAATCCTTCTCGTCTCTCCCTTTCATTGTTACTTTCTGTCTCTTTCTAGATATTTATATCATTATCTTTCCCAATCTTTTCTCGTCTCCTTTCATTGTTACTTTCCGTCTCTTTCTAGATATTTATATCCTTATCTTTTCCAATCCTTCTCGTCTCTCCCTTTCATTGTTACTTTCCGTCTCTTTTCTAGATATTTATATCATTATCTTTCCAATCCTTCTCGTCTCTCCCTTTCATTGTTATTTTCCGTCTCTTTCTAGATATTTATATCATTATCTTTTAATCCTTCCCGTCTCTTTCTAGATATTTATATCATTATCTTTCCCAATCCTTCCCGTCTCTTTTCTAGATATTTATATCATTATCTTCCCAATCCTTCCCGTCTCTTTTCTAGATATTTATATCATTATCTTTTCCAATCCTTCCTCCTCTCCCTTTCTTGATATTTATATCATTATCTTTTTCAATCCTTTATATCTCCTTTCATTGTTACCCGTCTCTTTCTAGATATTTATATCATTATCTTTCCCAATCCTTTCCCCTCTTTTTCTAGATATTTATATCATTATCTTTCCCAATCCTTCCCGTCTCTTTCTAGATATTTATATCATTATCTTTCCCAATCCTTCCCTGTCTCTTTCTAGATATTTATATCATTATCTTTCCCAATCCTTCCCGTCTCTTTCTAGATATTTATATCATTATCTTTCCCAATCCTTCCTGTCTCTTTCTAGATATTTATATCATTATCTTTCCCAATCCTTCCTGTCTCTCCCTTTCATTGTTACTTTCCGTCTCTTTCTAGATATTTATATCCTTATCTTTCCCAATCTTTCTCCTTTCTCTTTTCATTGTTTTTTCTCCGACTCTTCCTAGAGTTTTTTTCTCCTTAACTTTCCCAATCCTTTTCTCTGTCTTTCTCGTTGTTTCTCCCCTTTGTTTCTATATTTTACGCCTATCTCTTTCTCATTATTTCCTCCTGTCTCCTTCTAGCTCTTTTTTTTCTATAGTTCTTCTCTCTTTTCACATTGTTTTTTCTCTGTCGCTTTCCAGGTCTTTCTCTCATATTTTCCAGTCGTTCTTTTCTCTTCTTCACTTTGTTTCTCGCCGTCTCTTTCAAGATCTTTCTCTAATATTTTGGCTTTCATTTCTGTGCAGATATATTCTTAACTTCATACATATGAACTAATTACATCAGCGAGCCATTCTACACAATGGTCTTGCACTAAACTCTTGAACTCAACTGAAACCAAAGAAATCGCCTCCTTATACTATATCTCTTTTTACATCAGTTCTTCTTTGGTATTATTGATTAAGCTTTGTGCCTAGTCGCTTTTTAATGTGTTCAATAACCTGTTTTTAGTAGTTTTCATATCAATTTATATTAATGAGGCTGTGATTTATTATCAACTAGTATTAATAAAAACTGTTTTACACACAAGTTCTAACTTGTCTGGAAAACAGTTATATTTAAAAAGTGCTCAGTACTTAATTCAAAACATCGAAAAAAAGTAGAACTAGTTAGATCTAAAACATTTCAAACACTAACCTTTTCCGCTATGTAAAAATACAGTTTTATGATATGGTATATTTATGGGTCAAATTTCTCAATGTCAGAGATAGGGCGTATAGAAATATAAAAGTGGAAATGTCAAATTCAAACGGAGACGATTTTATTCATGCTTGAAGGCAATTTTCCAGTCGAATCAATTAAATTTATTACGTGCTAATACCCTTGGGTAAATATCAGTGCAAGCTGGGTTGTATGGCCTTGTTTGGAATCTGGTCTAGGAGAAGGACAACTTTGAATTCAAAACCTGCGTAGGGTCGTTTGCGGAACTTGTGGCACGTCGTGCACTGTATTCGGATCTTCAAAAAGTGTTTGGTTCTGCACAAAGCCTTCACCACTATAATCAGATTATATGTGCTGGTGTCTAGCTGTCGGTTGATAGAAACTTAGCTGCCTGACCTCATGCGTCGAATACAACAGGAGTCCACTATATATATATATATGTGTGTGTGTGTACCTCCAAAGATTTGGCAAAATGAGCTGATATCTTGACAAATGCGCCAAATTTAATAAAAAGAAGTTTTTTTGTCAACATGTTATCTTATTATTAAGAGGTAAAACCATAGGAAATGTTAATGATTAAATTATAATATTTAATATTTATAAAATTTTGGTTATTTTTTTTGCGTCAGCAAGTGAGAATAATTTTATATGAATTTTTGTAGTGAAAAAAACACATTGATTTAGAAATTCTTGCAAGAACCAAATTATTCTTGGATTTTAATGAATCTTACAGGACATATCATCAATCATCAATTATTTAAATCATATATGTCATATATTAGGATCATATATGTAAAGTCCTGTATTTTATATATTTACAACGTTGTTTTAATCATGAGCAATATGTTAGAAAGGCGATAATTATTACATAAGAAATGAAAGTCATAGTAAACTTGTGGCATTTAACAAAAATCTTTCAAAAAAATAGAAAAAGGAACTGAATAAATATATGATATTGTGTTTTTATATATTAATGTTCTCAAAATTATTGTCTGGTATTCCTAACACTATATCTGGATAAAACCATTACAGATTTATATATAAATGGTTATCCACCAATGATATATATATGTAGAATATATATAAATATATCAATGAATCTATATTTTATATCCCAACAAGGTGTGATATATTTAAAACTTCCAATTGAATTTATATTCATGTGGATCAGATAGGAATATTCTAAAATATTGGGTCATAGTTACTTCTTTTTGCAAGTTTGAGTTTGTATTTTTAAAGCCTTCAGGCAAATATTAAAACTCTATCCCTCTTGACATTATAAATTAATATGTCGGATTTTCTTTCAAAATCTTCTTATTAGCTACCAATTTATTTTTAAACAGTCTTTCTCATCAATTAAAAATTGACCAGATTCTTCAGTCATAACTTTTTTGATAGTTCTTTTAATATATGTTTTTATCTTCATATTTTATGCCTTCCCCATCCGCTTATCTAGTTTGGAATAAAAAAAAATCCTTTTTAGTTATAACTTTTTTGAATATTTCTTTAATAACTTTTTATAAGTACCAAATTTTGATGTTTTAAAAAAATATGTACCTTTAGATTTGGATTCATGTTATTGAATTACTGTATTTGAGTCCGCATATAAGGCAGATTTTTTACTAAATGTATTTTTAAAATTCATGGTAGTCAGATAAAATTAGATGGCGTTTTAACAATTTCACTAATTTCAATGGTTTTATGAATTTGAAAATTTCGTAAATTTTGATAAAAACTGTAATAATTACAAAATTGATACGAAGATAATTTGCATTTTTTACTTTTTGGATATTATAAAGTTTTTATAATCAACTTTTCATATTTTGACTATTACCATCATTTAATTTTTGAGTCGATGTGATTAACCAAAAATTCTATAAATACAGCCCTACTAATAATTTCTCAATCTTTCTTGACACATGGTATGGAAATTGTGGTGTCTCTTTTATGCTATCAAATACTTCCCCATGGAAATATTTTTTTATTGTTCACTATCGTCCTAAAATTTAACCAGATTTTTCATAAATTTTCGCCGAGGTGACATTTATATATATATATATATATATATATATATATATAAACTCTATAGCATCTGAAGACTGGGGTAGTGTTCTATTAGAAAATCTCTGCCCTAATGGAAATCAATTGTTAGGGAATCTGTATTAATTCCCTTCAATATTCTCCATAAAATTAGGATTGATTTGGTTTTTTTTTAACCTGGAAAGACATTAAATATTTATTTTCAATATTCATCATACATATTTTATTTTGAATTATACATACCACCTGAAATATAGCCAAAATCGTAAATCGTTGTGAAAAATATTTTTTGCAACTAGAAAATATTCCTTTCCTTCTCTATATATTAAAAAAAATTTTCTATGGGGAAATAGGAACACTTATGCTTAAAAATATAAGAATATATAACTCACTTATAGTTCTGCAAGGCATAAAGGGTTCATCAGGGTTAGTTGATAGATATTTATTTATGTTAATATTGCCAAAATACCAGCAAAAAAACATCTGGAACCTATAACACCCGCTTTTAAATTTGTTAGAACAAGTTTGGGTGGGATAGAAAAGACAAATATTTTTTAAAGATTTTTTTAAAATAATAAAATATGTTAAAATTGCCATTCATATGACCTGTAAATTAAAACCTATGTGATTTAAATGCCTACTTTTTTTCCTGCTAATATTTTTGTTTTTGACGTTGACCTCTCCTTGAGGACTATACGTCCTCCTGATTTTTCTTCTAATATGGATTTTTGTTTTGCTTTTTTATGACCATACATATATATATATTTATATATATGTCTATATATTTTCCCATTTCTTAATGACCATATGTTAAACCATGCCATAGTTACCTGGGACAGATTGCTACTGTTTTGAAATATTGACCGTTTAACCTCGACTGAAATTCGATATCATTATTTAATGTCTCTACAACTAAATATAATGAAAAAATGAGAGTCATTCTCTAAACATAGGTTTTTCATTCTTGAGTATTTCACAAAAATAAATTCCTGATCACATGCTATGCACACTACAATCACCATGGATTTACCATTACAATTGTTTCATATGAAAACACTTTGTTTATTAGGAGACCTGTACCAAAATTCAACATATTTCATCAAAGGTGTGAAGGAATGAAAAAACATTAATTCCAGTACCATCGTAAAACATTGGACATCGAAAAAATCAATTCAAAATATAAATTGAAATCATCTATAGAAACCAATTTAAAAACAAATTACTCTATTCTCAAAGCTGCTATAATTATTTAATAACAAAGTAATTTATTTGTATTTTATAAGAAACCAAAATGTTTCAAAAAAAAAATTATTAAAAAATATATTTAGAAAGAAAATTAAATTGAGTTTATCTTAAAATGGCTCTTTCTTTAACTTCTCATATAACCTATAGACTTACCATAACACATACCAACCTATAGAAACATGAATGATAACCTTTACATACACACACAGTCAAACCATATATATATAATAATAATTAAACATATATATATCAATAGAAAAAATTTAATTAGCATTAACTCCGCAAACAAGAAATATTCCAACAACACAATGGCTTCTTAACACTGCCCTAAAAATAGTGGTTATAAAATACTAACATTAACTATAGAATAAATACACTTTATTTAAAAAAAACAGGAAAGAAAATCATTTGGTACCCCTCCGTTCAACCAAAGGGTTTAGTATTAAACTAGGACAGAAATTCTTAGCTCTAATTGATAAAACACTTTCCCACCAATAGTAAACTTAGTAATATATTCAATAAGAACACCTAAAATTGAGTTACAGCTGCTCTGATAAATCTTGAACGTATAATAAAAAAACACAATAATAAGATCTTGAACAAACCTCCATGCCAAAATAGTATTAATAAAAAAACTACTTAAATCAGACAATAAAAGGGAAAAATTATGTAACTGTAGAAACCTAGAAACTGCCCATTAGAAAATAAATGTTGTATTAAATCTGTGGTATACCAATGTACTATTTCATCCACAGAGAGCCCTAGCACTAATATGATATACATTGGGTCCATCAAGAATAATTTTAAAGATAGATGGAGGCAGCATAAGTGCTCCTTCAATAATATAAACAAAAAAGAAATCAGACTTCCCTATCTAAATATTTTTTTGCACCTGAAGGAAACAAATAGGACACAAAAGTTAAATGGAAAATTATAAACAAGGCTAGAATATGTAAAACTTGGGATGATCCATGCCCTTTGTGCCTCCATGAAAAATTGCACATTATTAAACTTCTAAATAATAATAATCTATTAAATAATAGACACGAGTTAACGGTTTTTTGTAGACATCATCAGATTTTTGGTTTGAATTATTAGCTAAAAAAAAAAAAAAAAAAAAATTTATAATAACTTGTTTAATCCAATAGCCCAATCATCAGATTCATGGTAGGAATAATTAAAATAACAAGCATACAATATAAATAAATTGATTAATCCATAGCCCAAATAAATAGTTTAAATACCCTACAAAAATAACCCTTTATGAAGTCATCA